GGTTGTTAATGAGAGAAAATTTTTATTGTAAAAGAGACTTAGGGGTGATGAAGGCCATGGTAAATAAATGTCATTTGTGTAGTTTGGGCAAGTATAAAAATTTTAAAAACCAAAATGAAGTTAAATCTATTAGAACTAATGAACCTTTGCAAATTATAGCTATTGATTATTTAAGTAATTTAGTGAAAAGTGGTAAAAATAAGCACATCTTGGTAATAATTGATCTATTTTCTCGTTTCACAAAATTGTATTTGGTACCTGTGTGTACAACTGATAAAACTGTGCAGATGTTGGATAAATTTATTGAGGAGGTAGGACGCCCTAAGAAAATAATTGCAGATAATGCAACTTATTTTAATAATGACAGATTTAAATTAGCTTTGAGAGATAGGGAAATAGAATTAGGTTTTTGCTCTATTAGACATCCGCAAGGAAATCCTTCGGAACGTTATATTCAGGAGGTTATAAAATATCTGAGAATTAAATTGTATAAAGAATCACATACAAATTGGGGGCGGTATGCAAAGCAAGTGGAAAGTTTTATAAATGAGGTCCCTTCTACAGTCACCGAAAAACCTCCGGCGTATGTAATGTTTGGGATTTTTCCAGAAAGACCATGGGTAAAAATAGATGAGGGGGAGGAGAGATTAAAACAGGAATTAATTAAAGTTAGGGAGAAGGTTAGGAGGAAACAGGAACGTTATGTAATTAAAGAAAATAATAAAATTAAAAACAGAGTTATATTTAGGGAGGGTGATATGGTTGTGTTAAAAAAATTAAGGGTAGCTGACGGCCCTAAGCAGTTAAGTGCGAAATTACTTTTACCTTATGAAGGGCCATATGTTATAAACAGGAGATTTGGGGATAGTTATGAGTTACGTTTTAGGGATTCAGATAGGATTAGGGGTAAATTTCATTTAAGTATGCTGTACAAATACGATGATAATTATGGAGACTATGAGTAAGTTGTAAAATTTTAAAGTTTGATTTTTGATTTAATTTTAGATTAGGGATGATAGGTTAGGTTTACTGCTGGAATAGGTCGGACCTAGGTTGAAACAACGCCGAAGATGGTTCGATCTATCCGGCATTTGAATAGTTAGCTAAGGGTTGTAGAGTTACAGTAAATTAGTGGTAGTTCTTAAATTTTTATACTAGGATGTTGAAATTTCTCAGGCTCAGCTGGTGACGTCACCGTGCGGGGTTTCAGTAATGACTAGGGAGCTGTGTTAGGCGATCGTGTCCGAATACCTAAAGCAGGTCCCGAAGTTTTTTTTAAAGTTAATTGGTAAATTGAAAAAAAAAAACCCTGTAATTCCAATATTTTGTTTTGTTTTCATAGTCAGGGGAGGATTGTAATTTTGTGTTTTTGTGTTCAATTTAAAGGGGGAAAATGTTGTGTTATTTTGTTTAGTTGTAACTTGAAAGAAATTATAGAGCGTCTGGATGTGACAATTTTGTTTAGTTCAATTAATTAACCGGGGGGGTTATTAATAATTTGAGACAGGAATTGCGTAAATTTCATGTTATAGTTTTGGTTCAATTTCTTAGAAGTGTTCTGTTGTTAGTTTATTCCTAGAATTTTTTTCGATGTAAATTTCTTTTTAAATTTTATTTGCCGTTAACGAGGTATAGCGCGAAGTAGAGATAAGGTTCTTCGCAGAATTGCCGGGCGTACGTGCCGTTCAGCAAGAAGTTGAAAAATCGACGCTTCGCGTGATTGGCGGACGGGATGTTGAAGAAAGGAGAAGGGTTTTTGGCTTAAATAGAAAATTTTTGATGAGAGCGGGGCTTTTTGGTCGTTACAAAGCCAACCGGCGCTTCTTCGGTTACGTTATTTTTGAATTTTGTGGAAGTTTTCCTGCGTAGTTGGATCCAGGTTTTAATTAGAATTTTGTGTCTGCCGTTTTAAGAAGATTTATTGAGAAGTTTAAGAAGTTTGTCGTCGTCCTGTTTTTTTTGTTATTTTGCGGAAACACGGAAGTTTTAAATATAATTTGTGGGTACCCGAAGAGAGAAGACGTCGGTGTTTGAGTGGTTGGTTCACGTGTTTGTGTACGGTTTACCTCTGTTTATCGGATTACGTTTTTTTCGGACTAATTTTAAATGTAAGTAGTAGTTTAGTGGTTTGTTTTGTCGTGTTTTTTTTTTGTAATGTTTGAGTAATTTGTTTTTTTTTTGTGTGTGTCATTTATTTGTTTAAAATTGTAAAGATTTGTAAAACGGAAATTTACGCAATTTTTTGTTTGAAATTAAACCAGTCATTGCAATCCAGGTTTTGTTTATTAGAGTCAAGGAGAGGTAATTGTCGGCGTCTCTTACTTTGTTTCAAGTTGTTTAAATTGGGGGTAAAGTTTCATATTGGAATTTAAGGATTTGGGTAAGCCACCGATTTATGTCATTGTTGGAATGCTGTAGGGTGGCAGAATCCAGCTGGACCTTGAGATACAGATAAAAATTTTGTTTTCATTTTTTTTTACTACTGAGCTAGCTAGAGGTAAATCGTGGGATTTCCAGAAGTTAAGGTTAGGTCTCACAACAATATATATTTTCAAAATTTGTATTTAGTCCATAACTTTTGATAGAGACGTCTGATCGAAAAAGTACGAATCGTTTTGGATTCTACGCACCAAAATTAGTGAGAAAAAGTGTTTTCCCGAGAAATTTTGGAGCAGTCGATTTTCGGTAAAAAAGGAAGGTAAATAACTGCCTTTTTTGAGGCTGGAAAAAAAAATTGTCTGAGATCGACCGGAAAAAAACATTTTCTTATAGAGTTTGGCCCGTAGAATCCATAATTTCAAACAGTTCCACGATTGGACTACTAGATCAAAAGTTACAGCCCTTTGAACTTTATTTATATATATATATATAGTCGAAATTTGTATTTAGTCCATAACTTTTGATTGAGAGGTCTGATCGAAAAAGTACGAATCGTTTTGGATTCTACGCACCAAAATTAGTGAGAAAAAGTGTTTTCCCGAGAAATTTTGGAGCAGTCGATTTTTGGTAAAAAAGGAAGGTAAATAACTGCATTTTTTTGAGGCTGGAAAAAAAAATTGTCTGAGATCGACCGGGAAAAAACATTTTCTTATAGAGTTTGGCCCGTAGAATCCATAATTTCAAACAGTTCCACGATTGGACTACTAGATCAAAAGTTACAGCCGTTTGAACTTTATTTATATATATATATAGTCGAAATTTTTATTTAGTCCATAACTTTTGATTGAGAGGTCTGATCGAAAAAGTACGAATCGTTTTGGATTCTACGCACCAAAATTAGTGAGAAAAAGTGTTTTCCCGAGAAATTTTGGAGCAGTCGATTTTCGGTAAAAAAGGAAGGTAAATAACTGCCTTTTTTGAGGCTGGAAAAAAAAATTGTCTGAGATCGACCGGAAAAAAACATTTTCTTATAGAGTTTGGCCCGTAGAATCCATAATTTCAAACAGTTCCACGATTGGACTACTAGATCAAAAGTTACAGCCGTTTGAACTTTATTTATATATATATATATAGTCGAAATTTTTATTTAGTCCATAACTTTTGATTGAGAGGTCTGATCGAAAAAGTACGAATCGTTTTGGATTCTACGCACCAAAATTAGTGAGAAAAAGTGTTTTCCCGAGAAATTTTGGAGCAGTCGATTTTTGGTTAAAAAGGAACTGCCTATTTTTGAGGCTGGAAAAAAAAATTGTCTGAGATCGACCGGGAAAAAACATTTTCTTATAGAGTTTGGCCCGTAGAATCCATAATTTCAAACAGTTCCACGATTGGACTACTAGATCAAAAGTTACAGCCCTTTGAACTTTATATATATATATATATATATTTTTTTTTTCTCAATATTCTTAGAACATGCTCTTGGCTTGACCAATCACTATTTTACATATACAATTTGTAAGTATTAATATTCACAGGTTATTAGGATATGTAGGTATGTAATAAAACAAAACATCACATATTCCCAATGATTTATCTTGGAGGTTATATACAATACACAATATCGTACCAAATGGAAATTTTTGTAGTGGCGACATCTAAATAAAGTTATCCGAAGGTTAGCTGATGAGATCCGTAAGATGCATTACAAGTGCGTAAGTAATTGACGACCTATAATAAAAATAACTGTTAATTCAAGATAAGTGTCTAACGAACTACTTACCTAAAACAGACATTTTGTGCATTGTAATTGACACATGATTGTGACAAAACGAATATACCTCGTACATCCAGGGAATTTTGTAACAGAATATTCAATACCGAAAAATCAAGGAATATATTAATAGTGTGTTCTCAGTATATTCAATGCCGCGAACGTATTATTCATAGAACATTCTATGGATATTGGGAATATTCACATACTGTCTAAGAATATCCAATGTTATCTGGATCAGATGGTCTGGAATACCTCTCGGCCACACGCACATACACATTCCAAGAAAGCAATATTCAGTAAATCTCACTTGTGAATTAGTATTGGAATTCCGAGAGATATTCCAAACCCCCCCAGAGTTACACTTTCCCTCAAACGGAGTCTTTAATATTCTTGCAATTGTTTTTCAAGGAGGGCCATCGAATTTTTATTATGTTGCGTAAAGAAATTAAAAATTCCCGTTGTAATGTCAAATCCATAAAATAAAAAACTCTTGAAAACTCAAGAATAGAACGCACAAATTCAGACAGTACAAAAAATCGCGTAAAAAAATCAAAATTTTCTTCGAAGAAAACCTGAAAATAAAAATTTAAAAAAACAGAAAAATTCACCGCAAAATTCGGAACAAACAACAAAAATATAAATTCAGAAAAAGAAACAACTGAATATTTTTCAATTTAATTAAATCGTACAAATAAACTTATTAAGTATAGACATATAACAATAAATAAATTCTTGAAAACTCAAACCCGCGTAAAAAAATCAATGTTTTCTGAAAATAAAAATTCAAAAAACTGAAAATTCGAAACAAACACAAAAATACAAATTCAGAAAAGGAAAAAGAAACAACTTAATACTTTTCAATTTAATTAAATCGTACAAATAAACCTATACAAATATATACATAAAAAAGAAACAATTAATTTTCGTTGAAAATCTCTTTCACTCTGTTGGTAAGAGGGAATTTTACCATTTTCACCTCTTTCTCACCACAACGACCCTGGTGATCGTCGGCATTAAGTGAAAGAATCATGGCACCGGCAAGCTTCTGATGTTTGATAAACTCAGCCTACAAAATAAGATCTTTTTGTGAGATCTCGGACCGTGGGACGCACTCACCTTAAACGTCAGACTGATCTCGTCATCGAACGAAATCCAGTCCCACTCGTGGAACGCGTACGGACTTCGCGCGCCGTAGACGAACTCGCGCCTGACGCGATCTCTCGCGAGGAACGCGCACACCTCGGGATAGTTCGCGAATCCCGAATGGCCCGAGGATCCGTAGCCGCGCGCCGGCGCCATCAGTCCGTTGTTGTTCAGATTGTACAACCTGCAAGTTGACGATTAACGTGGTCCGATCGGCGGCGTACGCACTCGAAGGTATGCGCGTAGGTCGGCAGGCCCACGACGAGTTTGTCGGGGGCCATGCCGTTGTCGGTCCAGTAGTTGACCGTGTAGTTAATGTTGAGCGTCGCCAGGTAGCCGGTTTCGTTTCCGTCGGGGTACAAGGGCGCGTTTAGTCCTGTAAAGGGGGTTAATTCCGTGTAGAAGTGGTAATCGTAGGTCATTACGTTTACGTAGTCAACGTAACTGAAACATAGGCGAATTTCAAGCGCCGACGGGCTAGGCCGGCGTTACCTGCTCATGTAGGAGATGTCGTAGGCGAGGTCGACGATGAAGCGGGGGGCGGCGACGGCGACGGTCAGCAGAAACTTGTATCTCTGCTGGCGTTTGATTTCGGCGCGGATCTCGGCGAGGAGCTGGGTGAAGTGCATCTTCTGCTTCGAGTCGGGCGAGGGCTCCTTGTTCGGGAACTCCCAGTCGAGGTCGACGCCGTCGATCGAGTAGTTCCTCACGCACTCGTCGATCGAGCCGATGAACGACTTGCGAGTGGCGTGATTGAGGACCATTTGCGGGAAGCCGCCGGTGCCTCCGGCGCCGCCCACCGACAGGAGGATCTTCAGGTCGGGATTGCGCCGTTTCAGCGCGACGACATCGCGAACAATTAGCGATTGGTTGTCGTTTAAAAAAATCGTGTTGTTGACGACGGTGGCGAAGCCGACGTTTATGTGGGTGCAGAGGAGCGGGTCGATGTCGGACGGCTGTAGGTCGTCCGGCGAACTTGACGGGAACGTGTAGTAGCAGACCAGTTTATAGTCGGAGCTCGGGTTCTTCGCGATTTCGACTTCGGGGCCGCCAATGCGATTGCTGTAGTAGATGGCACGCTCGACCCATTGCTCAGGGACATCTGAAATAAGCATTTCTAACAAAACCGCCCTTAAGTTTTTTCAGAAACATTGTAAAAATTGCGAAAAATGCAGCCCCCAATTTTAGACTCTCACCCAAACTGATAAACCTTTTGTTGGACCCTCAAATTATATAGTTTTAAACGTTTTGGGAGACAGCAGCATGGAATTTGGGCGACATGGAATACCTTTCAAGCAAAGTAAGTTCGCCAGCCCTCCCTGAAAAATGATCCCAAAAGTACTATAGATTTAACAATCTGGGGGAGAGTCTAAGACGGGGGGGTCCACACACAGGTATTCAATCCAGAAAAGAGAATGTAGATATGTGTGGCTGGGGGATATTCCATACCCCCCGGTTTTAGACTCGCCACCAACTTGATAAACCTGTAGTACTCTGGTGATCATTTTTCAAGGAGGATCAGAAGGAGACCATCAAATTATTACTTTTGACACGTTTTGAAAGATACAATACAGCAACAGGGAATTTGGGAGACATATCGGGCAAAGAATGTTCGATAGCCCTCCCTTGAAAAATGATCCCAAAAGTACACAAATGTATTCGTCCCAGGAAGAAGGAGCTCTCGGAACTTCAATAATAATGAACAGTACGTTTACCCCCCGGTTTTAGACTCGCCACCAACTTGATAAACCTGTAGTACTCTGGTGATCATTTTTCAAGGAGGATCAGAAGGAGACCATCAAATTATTACTTTTGACACGTTTTGAAAGATACAATACAGCAACAGGGAATTTGGGAGACATATCGGGCAAAGAATGTTCGATAGCCCTCCCTTGAAAAATGATCCCAAAAGTACTAAAGATTTAACAATATGGGGGAGTCAAAGACTGGGGGCCTTGGGTGTATGGAATAACCCCCCAGCCACTCCAGGTATAGGTACATTTAAGGAAAGAAGAGAATGTATATGTGGCTGGGGGGTATTCCATACCCCCCCGACCCCCCGGTTTTAAACTCGCCCCCAACTTGATAAACCTGTAGTAGGTACTCTTCTGATCATTTTTCAAGGAGGACCCGAGGGAGGACCATCGAATTATTATGTTTTTAAACGTTTTGGGAGCAACAGGGAATTTGGGAGACATGGAATACCCATCAGACAGAGAAAGTTCGACAGCACTCCCTGAAAAATGGTCCCAAAAGTACACAAATGTATTCGTTCCAGGAAGAAGGAGCTCTCGGAACTTCAATAATAATTAACAGAACGTCCCCCCCCCCCCCCGGTTTAGACTCGCCACACAAATGTGTTTGTTCCAGAAGAGCTCTCGGAACTTCAATTCACAGAATGTTTATCCCTCGGTTTAGTCTCGCCATCAAATTGATAAATCTTTAGTACCTTTGTGATCATTCTTCAAAGAGGGCCATGGAACGTTAATTATTTTTCAACATTTTGGGAGACAACATAGCAACAAGGAATTTAGGATATGGAATACCTTTTATGAAAATCTGTTACTGAAAAATGATCAAAGAAGTACTAAAGGCTTAACAATCTGGTGGAGTTACAGACCGGGGGGTCTGGGGGTTATGGAACACCCCCAGCCATACACAGGTATACGTTCCAGGAAGGAAAAATGCTCGGAACTACAATAAAAATTCACGGAATGTTTACCCTTCGATTTAGACTCGCCATCAAATTGATAAATCTTTAGTACTTTTGTGATCATTCTTCAAAGATGGCCATCACACCTTAATTATTTTTAAACATTTTGGGAGACAACATAGCAACAAGGAATTTAGGATATGGAATACCCGAGGGAATACTTTTTAGGAAAATAAAGTTCGAAAGTCCTCCCTGAAAAATGATCACAAAAATACTAAAGGCTTAACAGTTTGATGGAGAGTCAAAGGCCGTAGTGTCTGGGGGGTATGGAATACCCCCCAGCCAAACACAGGTATTACGTTCCAGGAAGGAAAAATGCTCGGAACTTCGATAAAAATTCACGGAATGTTTACCCCTCGGTTTAGACTCGCCACCAAACTGATAAACCTTTAGTACCTTTGTGATCATACTTCAAGGAGTCATCGAACCTTGATTATTTTTTAACATTTTGGGAGACAACATAGCAACAGGGAATTTAGGATATGGAATACCCGAGGGAATACCTTTTAGGAAAATAAAGTTCGGAAGTCCTCCCTGAAAAATGATCACAGAAGTACTAAAGGCTTAACAATCTGGTGGAGAGTTACAGACCGGGGGGTCTGGGGGGTATGAAATACCCCCCAGCCAAACACAGGTATTAAGTTCCAGGAGAGAAGAACGCTCGGAACTTCAATAAAAATTCACGGAATGTTTACCCCTTGGTTTAGACTCGCCACCAAACTGATAAACCTTTAGTACCTTTGTGATCACTGATCATACTTCAAGGAGTCACCAAACCTTGACTATTTTTTAACATTTTGGGAGACAACATAGCAACAGGGAATTTAGGATATGGAATACCCGAGGGAATACCTTTTAGGAAAATAAAGTTCGAAAGTCCTCCCTGAAAAATGATCACAAAAGTACTATAGGACAGGTATATGTTCCAGGAAAGAAGAGCGCTCTGAACTTCAATAATAATTCACGGAATGTTTACCCCCTGCTTTAGACTCGCCACCAAATTGATAAACCTTTAGTACCATTGTGATCAACTTATCATTCTTCAAGGAGAGTCATCAAACCTTGATTATTTTAAAACATTTTGGGAAGCATAGCAACAGGGAATTTAGGATATGGAATACCTGAGGGAATACCTTTTAGGAAAATAAAGTTCGGAAGCCCTCCCTGAAAAATGATCACAAAAATACCAAAGGCTGTGTCTGGGGGGCATGGAATACGTTGAAGGAAGGAAGAATGCTCGGAACATCAATAAAAATTCACGGAATGTTTACCCCTCGGTTTAGACTCGCCACCAAATTGATAAACCTTTAGTACCTTTTGTGGGTATCCTTCAAGGAGGGCCATGGATAATAAAGGTTCGATACCTTCATTATTTTTAAACATTTTGGAGGACAACATAGCAACAAGGAATTTAGTATACATATAATCGTTCAATCATAGTCGTACTTACTCTTGATTAACTTTTCAGTAAAGTGACGCACACTGTTGATAAACAGACTTAATAAATTTCTTCAAAAAAAAAGCCCCCCCCCCCCCCCCTCACCTCCCGGACAACCAAGTTGGTATTCTAGAAACTTCACTAAACAATGATTGATTGCCCAGTGCAGTGGCAAAGTAAGTTGTTTATGACAGTCGGGTGGCGTCCCCCTGTATGTACATAATCGACTCCCACTTACTGCTGAGCGCCCCTATCGCCCCCCCCCACTGCACTGGAATGCTCCAGCGACCACTGGGGGGCGCTACCACCCCCGTTGGGAACCTATGATTTAGACAATCCTTACGCTTGATGAGTCATACAAAAACAACAAGGTAGGTGATACAAAACTTTCCCGTGAGAACGATTATCGAACGTCCTGCTTAACCCACGACCCGTTTTAGTAACCATAAAATGTTAGACTACACATACAATTCTTAAATGCTCACCATGAGCGGTAGTTAAAGCCGTTCCTCCGCCGTACCTTCTCGGTGTCAAGATATACACCGGTACTAGAATCGTCAAAAGCACAGCGCTGATAACGATCGGCGTGGTGGTCCTACAGCATCGGCCCGGAGCCGGTCGGCTCCTGCAAATTGTACAGTTTTAACATGGAAAACGCCGATCCATACCTGCGCACTTTTCACCGTCCAGAAGTGTGTAGCTGATTTGCGATGACGAAATCGAATTGATATCTTCCATAACACAACGCGTAAAATGAAGCGAGAAAGGCACTTCTATTTCGACATTGTTAAACAAAAACACAAAACGAGAACGTAGTGGTAGGGTGCGGTTTTGGGAGAAAATTGATAAGATAAGAAAATCATCCGATCATCGAAAGGAAGACCTTCGACTTCGGATTGAAAATAGGTTATGTAAATTGTGCATTTGAACGACTGATGTTGTGTAGAACTACTCCGTTTTGACAGTGTACAGGGTGAATGCATATACCTTTTATTCATTGGCGTATAGCGACTTTTTCAAGAAATCTATTTCAAATAAACCTCTCGCCAGGAAACATTGCCACAGAAGACCTGAAATAATTCCGACAGAGATAGAAATAGACCTCTTCGTATATTATGTTCTCTTAGTAGCACGACAACTTTTGCATAAGTTTGTCGACAAGTAACAGGTGTAGTATTAGGAAAAGAAACACCTCCTCGCACTCATATGATCCTGATACAGGATTGGCAAATTTTGAAATCGAATGAAAGCTTTGAAATAATTCTGACAGAGCTAGAAAAAGACCTCTTTTTTTATTATGTTCTCCTAGTAGCACGAAACCTTTTGCATAAGTTTGTCGACAAGTAACAGGTGTAGTATTAGGAAAAGAAACACCTTCTCGCACTCATATGATCCTGATACATAATTGATCTGAGACAATTTTTTTTTGGTGGTTCAAAAAAAGGCAGTGTATATCGACTACACCAAAATTTTTCGGGAAAACACTTTTTCTTATTAATTTTGGTGCGTAGAATCCAAAACAATTCGTACTTTTTCGATCAGACTTCTCAATCAAAAGTTAAAGACTAAAAACCAATTTCGAAAGAAAAGGGGCTGTAAGTCAGGAGGTTATAATGTGCGAGGAGGTGTTTCAGTTCTTAATACCCGAGGGGACAATCAGAAAATTCTTTTAAAATTTTGTCTGGCTACCAGGAGAACATAATAGTCGAGGAGGTCTTTTCCCATCACCCACAAAAATATTTCGAAGCCAAATCTCGTTTTAATCTTTTCTAATTTGGTATCAGGATGTTATAACGTGCGAGGAGGTGTTTCAGCTCCTAATACACGAGGGGAAAATCAGACAATTCTTTTAAAATTTTGTCTGGATATCAGGAGAACATAATAGTCGAGGAGGTCTTTTCCCATCACCCAGAAAAATATTTCGAAGCCAAATTTCGTCTTAATTTCTTTCCAATTTGGTTTCAGGAGGTTATAATGTGCGAGGAGGTGTTTCAGTTCCTAATACACGAGGGGACAATCAGAAAATTATTTAAAATTTTGTCTGGCTACCAGGAGAACATAATAGTCGAGGAGGTCTTTTCCCATCACCCAAAAAATATTTCGAAACCAAATTTCGTCTTAAATCTTTTCCAATTTGGTATCAGGAGGTTATAATGTGCGAGGAGGTGTTTCAGCTCCTAATACACGAGGGGACAATCAGAAAATTCTTTTAAAATTTTGTCTGGCTACCAGGAGAACATAATAGTCGAGGAGGTCTTTTCCCATCATCCACAAAAATATTTCGAAGCCAAATCTCGTTTTAATCTTTTCTAATTTGGTATCAGGATGTTATAACGTGCGAGGAGGTGTTTCAGCTCCTAATACACGAGGGGAAAATCAGACAATTCTTTTAAAATTTTGTCTGGATATCAGGAGAACATAATAGTCGAGGAGGTCTTTTCCCATCACCCAGAAAAATATTTCGAAGCCAAATTTCGTCTTAATTTCTTTCCAATTTGGTTTCAGGAGGTTATAATGTGCGAGGAGGTGTTTCAGTTCCTAATACACGAGGGGACAATCAGAAAATTATTTAAAATTTTGTCTGGCTACCAGGAGAACATAATAGTCGAGGAGGTCTTTTCCCATCACCCAAAAAATATTTCGAAACCAAATTTCGTCTTAAATCTTTTCCAATTTGGTATCAGGAGGTTATAATGTGCGAGGAGATGTTTCAGCTCCTAATACACGAGGGGACAATCAGAAAATTCTTTTAAAATTTTGTCTGGCTACCAGGAGAACATAATAGTCGAGGAGGTCTTTTCCCATCATCCACAAAAATATTTCGAAGCCAAATCTCGTTTGAATCTTTTCTAATTTGGTATCAGGATGTTATAACGTGCGAGGAGGTGTTTCAGCTCCTAATACACGAGGGGAAAATCAGACAATTCTTTTAAAATTTTGCCTGGATATCAGGAGAACATAATAGTCGAGGAGGTCTTCTCCCATCACCCAGAAAAATATTTCGAAGCCAAATTTCGTTGTAAATTCTTTGTAATTTGGTTTCAGGAGGTTATAATGTGCGAGGAGGTGTTTCAGTTCCTAATACACGAGGGGACAATCAGAAAATTATTAAAAATTTTGTCTGGCTACCAGGAGAACATAATAGTCGAGGAGGTCTTTTCCCATCACCCAAAAAATATTTCGAAACCAAATTTCGTCTTAAATCTTTTCCAATTTGGTATCAGGAGGTTATAATGTGCGAGGAGATGTTTCAGCTCCTAATACACGAGGGGACAATCAGAAAATTCTTTTAAAATTTTGTCTGGCTACCAGGAGAACATAATAGTCGAGGAGGTCTTTTCCCATCATCCACAAAAATATTTCGAAGCCAAATCTCGTTTTAATCTTTTCTAATTTGGTATCAGGATGTTATAACGTGCGAGGAGGTGTTTCAGCTCCTAATACACGAGGGGAAAATCAGACAATTCTTTTAAAATTTTGTCTGGATATCAGGAGAACATAATAGTCGAGGAGGTCTTCTCCCATCACCCAGAAAAATATTTCGAAGCCAAATTTCGTTTTAAATTCTTTCCAATTTGGTTTCAGGAGGTTATAATGTGCGAGGAGGTGTTTCAGTTCCTAATACATGAGGGGACAATCAGAAAATTATTAAAAATTTTGTCTGGCTACCAGGAGAACATAATAGTCGAGGTGGTCTTTTCCCATCACCCACAAAAATATTTCGAAGCCAAATCTCGTTTTAATCTTTTCTAATTTGGTATCAGGATGTTATAACGTGCGAGGAGGTGTTTCAGCTCCTAATACACGAGGGGACA